AACTGCGATTGAGATTATTATATAAACATAAGGTTTCATTACTTCTTACAATCTTATTTCGTGTATTCATCTGATACTGTAATATTAGTTCATCTGAAAGTAATTTATAGGAATGGATAGAACATTGGAATTGAGAGAATAAATTTGATAAGCAGGATTAAAAATCGTAGCTTAAAAAGAATCTGTATTTTATAATACTAATGTATATACTTCTGATGAACAAGGTATTTAGCAAGATATTCAACTCTATATCTTAAACAAAAAATAATTTATTAATACTTTACAAAATATCGTATGAGTTTCAATTGATATACAATTTTGTAAAGGGAACTTGATATAATTGATAATAAAGTGTTATAAAGTGTTAATAAGTAAAATTAAGAATTTGTAATAGCTATTTTCTATGAATGGCACTAATGGCATATTCAAGGAATGTAATATAAAGGTATTAAGTTGATCACAAAGTCCGTTGAAGTTTTGTGTAAGATAGGTCTGGGAAAACCAAACAAAGTTTTTGGCTAACCTAATATATTAAAGTTAACCATACGACATACTGCAATTAAATGCTGAGCTCAAGCCAGTCACTGTAAAAAAAAATAAGCAAAAGTGTAAAATTAGAGAATGTTAACATGTATGTTATAATGTTTGCTTATGTTCCAGTTACATATTATGGATATTAGAACAATTTTATTATTCAATGTGTAAATGGTTTCGAAGTTTATAAAATTTAGGAATATTAGATTGAAATATAATATATTATACAACTCTCTTAATAAAACTTCTGACTTACAATAATTTGCATCCTTATTTTGCACTGCATTATGAAGTGCTAAAGCAAGATATGTATGATATTTGGTATAACTATTTTCCAAAAGGTCCAAATCTTCACTGGCATACATTAAATTTTTGTAATTCCATCGAGCACGGACATGATTACACATTTCAATTAACTGAAAAAATCATAACTTCACGCAAAAAATTTCATTTTCTATATAAACAATATTTACGTACATTATTCACAGTAGCCATTAAATCATCATATTCTGGTGTTAACAAACAGTGTTCATAAACTTTTTGCAAATACTCATTATGCACTGTAATTAAAATTGCATTAGATAAATGGAAAGAGTGTATCTATGTATACACTAATGAAAGTAAAAATTACAAACTTGATTTACCTGAAATGATTATGTCAAGACATTCGGCTTTCATTAAAGACTTCTCTAATACAAGACTTAAGTTTTGTAGTACTTGACCTGACAAGTATGTGTGTATAGACGTAATTACAT